TAATGTTAATAATTGAGTTCAGTTTATGTTTAAGGATTAGTTTATGAGAGACATTGATGGAGGCACCAAAGCGCATAATTTAATAATTAATAAAAAGTCATCAAGTCACTTTTTATACGTGACAATATTATATAAAATTGAGGAATAGATAAACATAGTTGGTCAAAATAAACTATTTGTGTTTAAATAAAGCTAATTATGTTTATGATAATTTACAACATTTATATGGCGACATTAAATGTACATATAAAATTATAATTATGTTTAAAGCTAAACTTTACTTTCACCTCAAATGTAAGGTTAAATAAATGTTAATGAATTTGTTCAGTCAATGAGTTTTAATATAAACTGTATTGCTTGCTTGTAAATCTAAACAGGTGAATTAGTATTATAGTTATAATTAACTCTTGTTGTTTATTCTAAACGGTCATTAAACCATCTTAATATATTTATTTATTTATTTCAATAACATTTACAATTAAATTTTAAGTCCATTAAACTGTTTATAAACAACTTATTGGTTTAAATTCTAATGCTTTTGTTTGTAAACAATTGTGTTTTATTTGATCAGGATAAAAAATTTTACACATCAAACACACCATAAAACACATAATAGTTGCTATTATTAACCCATGGATGAAACTGCTATATAAATCGTTGTAATAAATTAAATAAAATATTATAACAAATTAAACACAATAATACTTATTAATTCGTAACGTTAACTGAAACAACATGTTATTATTTAACTCTCTAGTATTAGTAATTTTATTCAAAGTATCTCAACAGGGTAAGTATGCAACAAAAACCGAATGAAAAATGACCATATTCAATTGTATAAAATTATTATAAACAGAAAACACAGCGTATGTTATGGACAAGAATACTGGCGAAGAATTATCCATAAAAGTCAACACTTATTACTCGATACAGAATCTGAAAACACAGAGATATATGATATGGTTTGGCAGGAATGGCACCATTGCTGACGTACCAGAAACTAAGCAAGGTCGTTTCTGGCACACATTCACCATGCTGGCAACTAATCACACCAATCGTAATCAGCACTGGTATAAATTGAACCACTATTTTGGTTCACACGTGGTCAAAGTGGCCAAAACTCATGATGAGGGTACTTATTATCACATTTATGACCGTGATTGTCGTAAGTAATAATTTATAAATTCAACCATGTTATGCCACTAAACTTTAATGATCTATTGTTTGACCATGGTACTATGTTTGTTTTATTATTGACCGAACACAGATAATGGTGATAATCCGGTTGGCGATTGGGATGAGTTTGGCACATTGAAATGCGTTGAGCCTAAACCAGACAGTGATCATCGTGAATTTAATTGGATACTAAATTTAAAACCATTTAATAAATGATTGATTTTTAAAGTTAATTACACTGTAATACGCATTAGACAATCATGTTTATTTAATTGAAAAGAAAAGTTTTTATTATAATTGTAAAAATTTATTTTAAGTTTATGATACTGAATTTATTTCATAAAAAATTAATTATTTAAAACATTTGAATTTATTTACCAAATGAAAAGGTATAGATATTATAATTTTATAATGTTAATACAATAACTCAAATTAAAACCATGTACATTATTAATTATAAAATTTAAATTAATTAAAACCTTAAACCAAATATTTCTATACAAACTAAAACAAAAAGTTCATTTAATTAAACCGAATCAGATAAACCTTAATTACTTCGTACATTTATATCAACATTATTATTATCACCACGATCAACATTATTACGGGCACGGTTAGGCACACACACCACACTATCCCTACTAGACCTATCATGTTGTTGTTGTTGCTGGTGTTGGTCCCCCTCCGTGTCCATTGATTGTCAATAGACCTCTACATCAAAGAAACGCCAGTCATTGATATTAGTCTTGTTTTTGGCAGAATTGTGGCAAAGAATCTGATTATCATAAGCCCCTTCAGCGACCATTGTTTTAGCTAGGTTATATAAATTACAATATTCTAATATTATTTATATGTTATTTATTTTAAGTAACAATAATACTTTTTACCACATTCTTTTGAGTAGATATAATAGAAACCTTCGTTATTAGATTTAGCCACCTGCACAGTGTGGCTAGCGTTATGGTGTATCATTTTATACCAACCATGGTCCATTTTGTGAAATATATGTTGATACTTAATCTTTTTAATGTCCAGGTGTTGGCTAACAGTGCCCACCCCTCCGGCCCACACCAACCAATTGCCAGTTTTATGATTTTGCGCCACATAATAGGTGTCGGTTTTTAGTGGCAATTCAGTGTTGGTCATTTTGTCAACAATTGCTTGATGCACCTTGGTCGGGTCGGCAGTGGTCGAGTCTTTCAAATATAAATATCATGTTAATATTATCAAATTAATAACAATTAAAATAAACATATTGTACATACATGAATCGTATGAGTAAGCTTCGCATACTATAATTAAAAATTAATTAATTATATGTTGTTTAAAATAATATAAATTTTATAAATATAATTACATTTCTCATTGATAATAGTCAATATTATAATAACTATAATCTCGTTTAATAAGTCCTTATTAACCATAATGTGTTTTAACTGATTTGTATTTTGCTTGTGTAAAATCAATTTAACTGAAATTATAGTAAAATATATACAGTATTTATATATTTAGAAGGTTAATTAACTGTTGTTTATTGATCAAGGTTAAATTAATACTTACTATTTAATTTAGTCTAATTATAATTGTTTTGTTAACGTAAGTAAAACGGGGTGATTTTTATTATAGTGATTAAATGGTAAATGATCCCACAATTATAAATAAATTTACTGTATACATTATGCATATTTGTACCAAAATACAGTATTTGTCATTGTTTAATTATCTTAACCTTTTAACCAAGTTTATTAAGTTGTTTGCGATATAATTAGTATGGAACAAAGGCAAAGTAACTACATTATTTATACAGCAAGTACCTTTTTACATTTTAAATGTTTGTCTTATTGTAATTGCATGTTATGTTTATATACTTTATATACTAAAGTTTTACATAAATTAAATATTTATTTGTATAATCGCCCTTGGTCACCATATAATTACCATAACAACTAATTGTACCAAAATCATTTGAGACATAATATGATGTTAAAGATTGATTAAATTAATATAACAGTAATAAATTTAAAAATTAATTATTTCACAAGAATTTTATTAAACCAACTAACTACAAAAATTACAATTATAATAAGTTAAAATAAATTAAACACAAACAGCACATTTAAATAAAACAATCAGTTAAACAATCGCTGACCAAACACTAAAATAACTAAATAACAAAAGTTACTAATTAACTAAAAACATAAATGATCAAAAATATAACACCTATAAGATGGTACAAAACCAGCGACTCCGGCGCCTGGACTTCTTAGCGCCGGGCACTCCATCCGTGCCATCACTACCTCTCTGGCCATTGATCTGTCGGACGACATCAGTAAACACTTCGGACACATTAATCTCGCATTTGGCCGAACACTCGACAAATGGACAGCCATTTAGCTCCCGGTTCACCGTATGGGCCGCCCTAAACGTACTGACCTCACGCTCATCGACCAGGTCACTTTTATTGCCAACCAAGATCATCGGGGGTAGAGTTGGGTGTACGGCAGCCCCGGTGCCACTGGGCTCACCATCAGTGCCATTAGTCCTGATCTCCAGTATTTGGCGCCGTATTGCCAGAGCCTCGGCGAACGTAGACTTGTCGGCTATAGAGTAAACGAGTACAAAGCCGTGTCCGCACCGTATGTACTGTTCCCTCATCGCCGAGAACTGTCGGGTGCCGGCAGTGTCCACGATCTCCACCATATAGTGGTGTCCGTCCACTATCATGTACTTGCGGTAAGTGTCCTCAATGGTCGGGTCGTAGTTGTCCACAAATGTTTCTGGTCAATGAGTGTATGTGTACAAAGTAATTTGTTAGTGTTTTAGATTTTACATGCCTTAAGTAATTTAGCTAAAGTGTTTGTTCAGTTTAAAATTGTTAAGAATCTTAACTTAAGATAAATATAGCTATTATTGTTCTAGATTTTAAATAATAATTTTTAGAGTGAGAGAGAGAGAGAGAGAGAGAGAGAGAGAGAGAAAGAGA